GCAAAGTCGTTTTTTCAGTGACTGATCTACACCAGAGTAACTTCAACAGCGCTGTCTACCCAATACAAATGGGAGTACACAGACATGACAAAAATTTAACCTCGTCCAGTAAGTAACACGCTGGTGCTACTACATTAATGCAATAAAGCATTACAAATAATCAATGCAATATTAACTTCACAAGAATCAGTCCAACCGTACAGGCAATACAAAAAAAATATCTTTAGCTTGCAACACCTATCCGTATTTTCTTTTTTTAAACTCAGCTCAGTAGACGGGAAGTACATGTTTGCACTTTTCTTTCATTTCAATGCGTAACTGTGCCATAGCATGTTTGGTAAATGGGCTTCCTCATTCAGATACATCAAACATGGCATGCTGCAACGGGCATACCCATTTAATTATGTAACCAGGCTACGAGACGAGCTCCAATAGGCACCCACCGTCATCGCCCCGCCCGACCGAACCTCGCATAGGGAGGGGCAATGGCCACCCGTAGCAACATCCCCTCACCTTGACCTGCATGCTTCAGTGAAGTGCCAGAATGTCGGTAATGACTTCCGACACTGCTGAGGAACCGGAAGGTGGCGCAGCTGACTCACTGAATCGCATACAATAGGTACGGCTAGGTCGAGAACACTCGCAAACCATGCGCCCTCTATTTCATCTCAACACACCTTCGAATAGCAGCACACTAAAGAGGTTAAAATTTGTGAGCATGGGACATTACAGGAGCCTATGTTTCGACAAAACGGTTTTGCCTTCTTCAAGGCTTCAAGAAGACAAGACTGGCTGTCGAAAACATTGGCTCCAGCGACACCCCGTATTCCATTATTGTTTCACAATTTTGTCTCCCCTGAACTTCTGCCTCACATAAGGTAAACTGAAGAGTGTTACGTGAAAGTAACACTGTCAGTGCTCCATGAACATTGGTAGCTATATGAGAGCAACAACTTTTACTAATATGGACATACTGGTGACACAGTCCTGACATCCTTGAGAGTGTTGCGCATTTTTACTGCTGGAATTGCGTCGTTAACACAGCGAGGGTCAACTCTTTTTGCAGAATGCAGTGCACAAATGTGCATTCCTTTATTGCTCAATTAAATTCTTCTGTCGAATTATTTGAGAAAGAAAAATGTCCAAAATAGTTTTGGGGAGACCGGAAACGTACAAAAAATCTTTTGAATAGTTACATGAATGGCTGTTAAAAAATTATGCGTTGCAATCAACGTCTATGTAGTCCGCAGACATACACAAGAAAAACTGCACAAAGTGGTGTCAAGCAGCAACATGGAGGGTAAAAATGCCCCTTTTGACCCAGCCAGCATCACCTCGCTGAGCACGCTGTCGTTTGTTCATCAAGATCTGAAACTCAACTCATCAGTAATGCCTCGAATGACGGGCCGACATTTAACGGATCAGATTCTGATTCACCAGTCGAGCGGCTCTACACTCAGTTTGGCGGCCGAGAAACCGGTGCAACCCTCTTCTCGTTAGCACTGATACACACCTAATCATGCTGTACCAACACACCCATTCATACAGTCTTTCAACGAAAACGAAGCTTCAGCAAAATCCTGCTGACTTAAAACTCATTATATCAAAACTACATCTGCAACAAAAATACTTCGTTATATCCGAAAATTCGTTATAAACAATTTGTAACACTGCATCTATGGCAAAGCCACTGGTCACTTACTTCGTCATAACCAATAGTTTGTTATATCTAACTTTGAGTGTACCGCACAGAATTTTCAGGTGGGTTAGACTTCAATATTTGCCGCTCTTATAGACACCAGCACCGGAGTTTCTTGCAGCAATTTTTGAAGGAAACTCTTTATGTTGCAGTCCCCACTACAAAGTGACAGTTGAGCGGAGGGCCAGTGCACCGACCTGGAAACGCAAGATGATGGTCCAGATGAGACCCAGGGTGAGCCGCGAGTTGCCGTCGACAATGTCGTGCGATCCCAGGTTCTCAAGGTGGACGCGCTGTTCCTTGAGGAAAGTCAGCGCCTTGTCCACGTTCTCCAAGCAGTGGATCTTCATCTTGCCTTTCGTTGGTTTTTGCTGCGTCGGGAATATGCAAGCATTCACGAGTCTGGCACTCACAGTCGGCGTGAACGACCCCGATGTACTGAGATTGTCTACCCAATTGTGGTGCCAAGAAAGAAGGCCAGAGAAAACTACCAACGTGAAACAAGATTAAGACACATGCAAAAATGCACAAACAACTCAGTGCAGCTTGTACACGTCAGCAAGAAACAAGCATAGAAGCACCCAGACCATTTACAGGGACACAAACTGATCCATATAGTTAACTACAGGCTTTGAAATTATAGTGTAATCTGATTCCTTAAAATGCACACATCAACAAAGCTTAGGTGGCACCTACGCAATGCACATGAACAAAGTTTTCAAATATCGATGTCATAACAGGCCATACTGGAAGTGATCAAAGTGGGTTGTAGCAATACTGCTACATTTTTCCTCTAAAGGACACTGTCTTATCACTGACATTGCAGGGCATTAGAAGGATACATTTGCGTGCAAAATTCGTAGCACAAATCAAGACGTGAAGACACTGATAATTCAAAGAGGCAACTATAGCAATGTGCGCTAGCTCGAAATGAATGAGTGGAGCTAATGTGTTGCCAAGCTAACCGATTTTTCAAAATGGGCACTGAAAGTCTCCCCTTGAGTGAAAAAAAAAAAAAGATTTAATCTGTACGTATGAAACATCTGCTCTCGTAGCATATTAAACGTTTTTGGCTAGTCCTACAATGAAGAAAACAAAACTAAACTACTTTGTGGCTTTCTTATGTTGATGTTCCAACTTTGCAACATTACAACATGGTTCCACAGCCTCCACTAAAACTGCATATTATAATTACATTCATCACGAGTAAAAATCTATGTCGGACATTTCTGCAAAAAAGATGAGCAGCTAATAGCTCCGTTGAAGGCAGTGCGTGGTTTGCCACGCAAGTCCACCCTTTGCACGTGGCCCAATATGCATTACACCCAAGTCTACTAGGTACAAATGATCACAAGCAAAAAAGTATGAAACAGTAACCAGAGATCTGCTAGCCAAGGTTAAAATGTGTTCATAAACTACCAAGGTACACTTTTGCAGAATGCTGCACAACCTCCTGACACACCTTTACAGCTTGCCAATTGTCATGTACGCTCACTCAAGTTACTCGATCAATGATATATGATGTCATCACTAAAAAGTAACATCCTTAGTCAGTTCCTCGATGCATAAAGCTTTATGGTGCCGCGCTCATAGTGTGCAACCTGAATTTGCTACCACATGGTGCATCCATCAAAGCTAAGCTTCAAAGTCGCTTGTAATGTTGCTTAAGATATTGAAAGTACTTAACTAGGGCTCAGGTAAGAGTGCAGCACAGGCGCCGCCAGTGTCAACACAAAGCTATAGCTAATGAATCGATGAAGCCCTGTAAGGTAGGTGTGCCTTGAAACTCTGTCAAGGGGAATTCCGAATGTACACAACTTAAACGAAACCGGTTCGCAGACATGCTGATAAAATGGATACAAAACATGCACGAATGCACGGCTGACTTTCTTGCTAGTTATTTCAGTCACTAAGACGTTTGGTTCCACCTCCAGCGGATAAACGAAACTTGACTGCACCACCGCGAGGAAAGCCTAAGACACGAGCAATGCCGAGTTCTAAGGATTCCTTACCAGTTTCTCTCCAGAGAGAATCTCGAGCAGCTTGATGAGCATCTTTCCGTCGCGCATATCCGTGGTCAAGTCGGTGATGCGACAGTTGGCTCGAACTAAGTGCGAGTTGACCCACTTGCAGAAGGTTTTGCGTTGCACCATTTCACGCTCCTCTGCACAAAAGAAACGGAACAGCGTGCGTTTGACCGAAACCCGCGCATGGTCAGGATGAAGGGAGGTGAGAAGTAGCAGCCGCGCCCACCTGCCAAGGCCTTGATGCGCGACCGTTCGAAGAGTCGCGATGAGCTGTTGCCGCCGTCGTAGTCGTAATCGTCCATCTCCTGGGCGTTGGTCGTGCTGGGGTCCCAACGGAGCCCCACGGAGATGTCCGTGGTCATGCTGACCTGCGATGCAAAAAGCAACGAGCACGGGCAAGGTCAATCGAGCACCCCGCGCTAGCTGTCCCCGCCCGGCTCGGAGAGAGGCACCGCGGTGGGGGCCGGAGTACGGGCGAAACACCGGACCTCGCCCCGCAGTCCTAACCCTCGACGATGCCGAGGGCGTCGGCGGCGCTTAACGCGCGCCGCGCCGTCGACACATCCCGTGTTTGACATTCGGCTGACCATAGAAGCACCGATGGCCGGCAACATCTGGAACAGCTTACGCCGTGTGCCGCGGCACACGGCGGTCTGCCGCTTGCTCCGAGAGTGAAACCTACGACCGCCATGTTTGATGCGGGGATGTACCGAGACGCGGCGATAGCTCGCTCGTTCCGCGTCCGCCAGGAAGACTACGGGCGAGGAAAAAAAATCTTACCGTTGGTCCTGGGACGCGGTTATCCGACTGCGGCTCACGGAAGTGAGTCGAATGCTCCGACTATCCGGCCGCCGCGATCCGGCCACTCCCGTCAATGGTCGTGATGAGCGTTTCCGTAGGTGGCAGTGTGCGGGGGAGAGGAGGAAGGACGACTTCAGCGGGATGGCTCGGCGACCCCGCCCTGCACGCGACGCGACGCGCGCCCCGCCGCCACCGCGGGTCGCCACGCGCGATCAATATAAAGCACCAGCTGCAAACCTGAGGCCAGGGCTTTTGTGGACGGTCAGCCGGATTTGCTCGCGGTGTGAGAGAAAAATAAATAAAAAAAGAGAGAAATGAAGCGAAAATTCGCTCGGGCTTGCCGCGCAACGTTCCGCGAGAGGTTTCGCAACGTTCAAAGGGTTGGCTAGCTTGGCGGCTTTTGTCGCCGCTTCGGTTGGAAGCGTGCGCTTCGAGCGGGTTTTTTTTTTTTTTTTTTTTTGCGTTTGAAGAGAATGGCGGCGGCGGCGTGGCGCCGGTGTTTCGCACGGTTGGCGTCCGCCGCGTGCGCTAGGAAGACGGCGGCGTCCCAGAACGGCGTCGCCCGAAGAGCCGACGAACTTTACGCGAAAGTCGTCGAGTACGCGGCCGGTCGGCCGCTGTCTCCGATCGACTGGGAGCGTTTCGAGCGGCAGCACAACCCGGACATGCGGCCTCCGTTCCGCGGCCAGCTCATGAGTTGCCTGGCCTCGAGGAGAGAGCACGAGATGGCCCACTCGCTGCTTGAGTATGCGGAAGGCGTCGCCGGCGGTGTGACGCGCACGATGCTCGGCCACTACCTGGCGCTCTGCTCGACCGAACAGCGAGCGGACGCCTGTTTGCGCAGAATCCTCGAGTCAAGGTATAATATCACCGGCGGCCGACGCTTCCGCATGCTTCTTTCAGAAGTGTCGTCGAAACTGTCGCGACTGTTTAAAGGATATCGCCTGTGTACGTTGACATATCTGTACACTTCGTTCGCCTTAGCTCGACGTGCGTGCTGCCGTGAGACTGATCAAACGCGCTGTCAGACTCTTGAAGGGTTGTATAATAACGTTTTTGGAGACACGTGCCGTGTTCTGTTTACTGAAATCAGCTGACACCGCAGGCTAAAGCAGCCGGCGGCATTCCCTGAAAGGGAATTCGGAAACTGAAACTTGAATGAAAATAAATGCTACGCGTTTTTATTTGCCTTTAATGCTCCTTAGTTTATTGCAACTGAGATTCTTATTTGGTTGCCTAAGTATTTTAAAGAAGTGGCATAAAATTGTGCTGTACTTTGAAGAAATAATTAAGCGAAATGCCCTGGCGGTCGGAAACGATGGAATTTTATAGTTCCTGTATTCAGACACACTGCAAGATGTGAATATATATATATATATATATATATATATATATATATATATATATATATATATATATCACGCACATACACAAGTTTAAAGGGTGTAGTTTTTAAAAGTAGTGCCTATTCAGAATGCCGCAGTCTTTTTGGCATCTCGGTTAATGCAATTCGGCACAAGTTTTTTGAATAAGACATTATCAAATGTTGTCTAAAGATTATGAGAACTTGTTCATTAGCAAATAAAAAGATTGCCTAAACTAAGAAGGTAATAAATGTAGCTGCCTGTCATACTCCAAATTCAGCGATTGCGTAGAGGCAATGTTCATAGAACTCTCCAGATAGGCGCCAAGTACGTAGCGTCTCCTCCAAGTTGGCAATGCCTTGTGGTGAACGACACAGGACATTCCAATTTGTTCGGTTGGAATAAAAAGCTGAATTGTCAAGTATTCACTTAACATTAAGTCATCAACATGAAAGCTATTCTTTAGAGTGAGGGAATGGTTATTAAACAACAGGCAAGGAGCTTAAATGATTTTGATCATATTGCTACCCTACGTGTGGCGAGAGGAATGAGAGAATATAAGAATAAAGCATGCATAAGTATAATTCTCAAATGTGTAATGTAAGTAAAGCTTGGCTATTACCATGAAAACTTTGTCCCTTAGAGAGAGAGGCAGGGGAGTGAATGAAGGAAAGGCAGGGAAGTTGAATTCACTAACTTCAGTTTGCGATGCAACTTATGGGGAGGGGAATGGGGTGTAATAGAGAGTGAGAAAGCATGCATGAGTACAGATTATTGACAATTAACACACAGTCCAGTCTAAAAGAAATCGACAGCTTGTTTTCTGCACATTTGTTTCAGCAGGATTTTGTTTCGGGAGGAAGGGGGGTGCAAACTCTTACTGTATTGCAGTGAGAGAGGGGGCCGAGTATTTGGATGGATTGAAGAGGGGCAAGTTCTTCTTTCGCACACCCCTGCCAACGCCCATTCATTGTTTGTGTTGTTTAGTGTCTTGCTGCTAGGATAATTGCCAGTTTGCCTCTTTCTTCATTCCTGTGCAGAAACATTCACAAATGCCTCTCCACACAAAATGCAAGCAGTGCTAACTCAGTGACCCCTTGCTTGTTTCATACAGTGGTGGCTTGCTGGACAGTCAAACACGAAATCTGGTTAGTGAGGTCTCTCTGCCAAACTCCTCTATGGAAAAGAGCCATGGAGCTCCTCGACGAGCCCGAGGCAGCTCCCGAACCAATCAATGCAGCGGCAGTCGCTTGCTTTCAGCACCACGACTTCTCTGCAGCATGGGACTGTCTCGAGCGTCTGCGGCGCTCGCAACAAGCCCCTTCGCATCTTCCCTTCCACAATGGAGGCTTGCCTTGAAGCTGCTCGCACGTTGGCACAGAGCGGCGACCATCTCGACGAGGGACGTCAACTCGTCGACCATCTCTTGGCGTACTTAGCCACTGGTAGCCATGGTCCACTTCCCACATCGCTAGCGCTGAATGTGTCCAGCTTCTACAAGGAGTAAGTCAAGAATTTTTTAAACCAAAGCACCACATCAGCATCATCTTAAAAAACAGCACAGCAGCACACAGACAGAGGGAGACACAACGGGATAGACTCTCAGCGAAAAAGTTCATGAAAAAGAACTCATACACATGCACTTTGAAAACAATCTCAGTCAAACCCCTTCATAAGAGATGCTGATATAAAAGACAAATGGATATAAGATTATGCCTACAATAAAATACTGGTTGGTAAGAAAATGCATACAAGGCACCCTGCTTATATGAGACATCTGCCCAGAGCATGCCTATTGTAAAGAGCTTCAACTGTATACATTAATAAGCATGAAATCAAAACATGAGCGTAATTACACCACATGAATGTCAACACCATGTGCACGAGAAAATCGTAATCACCATAAGGTGTAAGAAAATAACTCAGTGCCACTGGTGGATTCAGAGCAAGGGGTAGTACGAGTGACGGCCCTCTTTAAAGAAGCCTGTGTCAGCAACTCGACCACTTCCCTTCAGTACCTGCTGTCCACCTCCTATCACCAATGAGGACAAATGAGTGGGATTATCGTGAGCATAAATTAACCCTATTTATGCTATGGTGGAGTTCTTGAAATAATGCTATTAAAAAAAAAAAGACAGTACCCCTCTTTCTTTCTCCGGTTTTAAATGTAAAGCAGTTCTTTGCATACTGCAGGCACTTCAAGCATTTCTATTTATGCATCCGTCCGTCCATCTAGCTGCCTACATCTAGGTGTTCTTGTGATCCCCTACTTAACTTGGGGTAGACCGAAATTAGTATGAAAGGGTAGGAGGGTTTGACGATCACGACTGCCTGGTCACGACATGAATAATGTGAAAATCCTGCCGCGTACATCGTCAGACCCTTTCCGCCAGACACTTGTGGCGCATACCCATATACCACGGGCCACGGTTTGTGGGTATGCGTCACAGGGGTTGGACAGTTTGTAGTCTCGGCAAAAAACAGCGCTTTGCGATAGGTTGAGAGACCCTAGTAGTTGTAAAGGAATATGTCTACTTAGGACAAGTAGTATCCATGGAGCCGAACCACGAGATCGAAAAAAATCACAGAATTTCCATGGAATGAATGATGATGAGTGAGGCAAAGCGTACGTCTGTCTGTCTGTCTGTCTCTCTGTCCGTCTGTGTGTCCGTCTGTCCGTCCATCTGTATGTCTGTCTGTCCATGCGTTCATCCGTGCCTCTGCCCGTCCATCCCTCTGTGCTTCCATCTGTCTGCCCATCGGTGCATCCGTCTGTCCGTCCGTGCATCTCTCTGTTTGTTTATCTGTTTGTCTGATACTGCCGGTTACGCCTGATGCTTCGCCTTCAATAACCAAAAAATAAGGATGACGTGGATCACATTCAGCAAGCATTCTCATATCATGAATGGTAGTCTGCCACTAACCCTCAAGAGGAAGGTATATAACAGCTGCATCTTGCCGGTACTTACCTATACAAAGCAGAAACCTGCAGGCTTAGAAGGAGGGCTCAGCTTAAATTGAGGATGACGCAGCGAGCGATGGAAAGGAAAATGATTGGCGTAACCTTAAGATTAAAGAAAAGGACAGAGTGGGACAGGGAACAAACCGGGGTTAACAATATCATAGTTGAAATCAAGAAGTAGAAATGGACATGGGCCGGGCACGTAACAAATAGACAGGATAACAGGTGGTCATTAAGGGTAAGCGACTGGATTCCAAGGGTAGGCAAATGCACGAAGGGGAGACAGAAAGTTAGGTGGGCCGACGAGATTAAAATGTTTGCAGGTGTAATGTGGCAATGGAAAGCACAAGACCGGGTTGATTGGTGGATCATGGGAGAGGCCTTTGCCCTGCAGAGGGCATATTCAGGCTGATGATGATGATCTACCCAGAAACTGCAAGAATTGACATAGGTAAGATAAACGCAAGAGCGTTAAGGAAAACTGACATCTGCAGTGCTAACCTGATGGAGCAAAGAAAAATTGGGGGATTCTAAAGCTTCACTTTCGAGAGTTGAATGCGACAGCGATATTCTGTCCCTAGTGCGTCTCTTTCTTGATTTTTCGGCCAAGCCCAAGATGATTTTTCGCTCACAACCAACGACGCCGACTTTGGAAGTTCTGCGAAATGTGCATTTTAACGTTACGTTGTGGTCCCAGCAGGAATTTTTGTTATATATGTTATGGTCCCAGCAGGAATTGAACTCAAGCATTCAGCATGGCAATTGAGCATTTTAGCACAAAGCTGTGGCAGGTCTCGAAACTCCTTCCGATGAAGACCCCATGTAGGCGAAATGTTGGTGAAATGTCAATCGTGGTTGCAGTGCTAGCCATCTAAACATTACATATGTACTCCAATTGCAGTTAAGCGTCATCGACTGAAGTTGGTCAATGTAGCACTATCCAGGGCTACCATCCTTGCACGCATAAACACTACATTTCAGCTAGCCACTTTTATTGTTTGTAATACCCATGTTGCTCTTGTATTGTTACACAACAGTAAACAACCAGGTTATATGAAACATATGTGACTGTTCGACTGTACTACACGTACATGTCTATGCGTGTAACATTTGCACTTATGTTAGCGTCATTTCATAACGTTTTGCTCAAGGAAAATTACAACACAGTCACCTTCCCTTCGCATGCATTGCATGACATCAATTTCCATGGTACATGGATCTGCCAAATTTTATTTCAAATGACAGCCCCCCTTCCTCCCTCAAAATGAGTGGCTTGATCCGCCCCTGCTACTCGATGAATACTGATAGATGACTAATGCACTGATCCCATTGCAATGCCTTTGTCCTTGCATTTTTGCGCTGTTCTTAAGATTACTTCTAACCAACTCATCCAGTATAATCTGCGCTGCTAAACATTACCAACAGTCTTACAAACATCACAGCAAAGGCCTCTCTCATGTTGCTCCAGTTAACCTGATCCTGTGCTTGCTGTAGCCACGTTATTCTTACAAACTTCTTAATCTTGCCTGCCCACCTAACTTCCCGCCTTCCCCAGGTCTGCTTGCCTTCTCTTTAAGTACACTATGTTACACTTGATGACAAGCAATTACCTAGGCTTCTCACTACATTCCTTGCCCACGGCCATTTCTTTTTGATTTCGATTAAGATGTCTTTAATGTGCTTTGATAGTAGCACGTAGGGACCTCAAAAAGCAATAGAGCTTGAACTTTAGCTTTGAGATTTACTTTTATACTACAACAGCAAATAAACACTTATCATAACCAGAGACCACTGTTAGATAGAAAAGCTGAAAGGATGAAAGACAGGTTACAACATTGCCTTGAAGCTCCTGTGTTAGCTCATTATGATGCAACAAATTTTGGCAGAGACCAATCAAAATTATAGTTTACTTTTGGGTGGCTCTCTTGTCTGCTGTAGTGTTCATTTTTGGAATATGCTCACGGTGCTTTTCTCATTCTGAAGGGGTGGCTGTACTTTGTAAGCACCAACACCTGTAAAAGGTTGTAGATCTCTTTACAAGCTTAACGCCGTCATTGAAGATCACATAAACATTTTAGACCGATTGTGTTAGTTCACGGTGCAGCATCCTTTCTTTCAGCAGATTGCAAGAGAGATGTGCTTGGACCCCCAGATGCTTCACCTCACTACAGAGACACTAAAGGGAAACAATCAGTTGGTTTAGATTTATATTTTTTACTCTGAAGATATTAATGTCATTAACTTCATCATCATAGCTTTAATGATGCTAGAGAAGGAAACTAAGATCAATGCTTTGCGCTGAGATTGGCATGCGAATTTCGTTGCGTATTTTTTGTATCTTTGGCGACATTGGCTCAGTGAAACTTCCTGAAACATGGTGTGTTAAGTCTATGTCCCTCTCAAAAGACAATGTACTCAATTTTTACCAATCAGGAACTACATTGTGCCTAGTAGACGACATCAAAACCTACAGTGTCATGGGGACTTGCGTGGGAATCCAGAGATGGCATCGTCGCCCGCACTTACCTTTTGCACAATCTCTGGCTTACTGAGCATCTTCTTGCGGCAAGAATGGTTATTTTCATACTAGTAAAGAATAATTAACTAACAAAGTACATTTTTTTTTCTTTAATGTTTCTTTAAGAGAATACTAGCTGACTCATAGCAAAGCAGCCACTTGGGCTAACATATTGCTAAAACTTTCCAGTACGGCCCAGCTAGGTTGGAGCAGTGGACCTGCCACAATTTCAAGGTGAGCCTTACTCATTGATTTTCTTTTCCTCTTCCACATTTGGGCTCCATATTATCAGAATATGCGACGTCTCTGTGGCAGCAGTTGCACAGAACTTTTTAGGAAGCGCGAGAGTGTTCCCCAAAGCATGTATTCGTACAGGCTGTTTCAGCCATGCTATGGTATCGTGAATGTGCATAATGGATGGATTTGAAGCAGCGGGAAGTGATGTAACAAGATACACGAAAAGTTTTCGAACATAGAGAAGCTCGAACGGTAAATACTGTGGAGTCTTGTTGATACAATTCTGTACAACGAGTTTCTTGGTTTCTTACATTTCTCTCTTTTCCTAGCCAATATCTCAAATACACTAAACCTCATTATAACAAAGTTCAATCTTACACAAAAATAAGTTCATTATATCCAAAAATTTATTATAGAGGTTTATTTCTGACACCATGTTTATCGCTGTTTATCGCTTACTTCGTTATAACAGATATTTCTTTGTATCAGGGTTCATTATATCGAGGCTGGAGTGTGGGAGTAATGTATTTTCATATGCTAATGTGATCACTTTTCACATGATATTGGATAATACAAGTGCAGAATTGGGCTTTTCCTTGTATCAAGTATCATGCTTGCAACCCGTACTACAGTTTGCAAGCATCAACACTCCAACGACCTCATGAAAGACATGTTACACACCCAAAGCCCTGCGAATTGTGCAGAAGCAGTAGCATGAAGAACCAATGTGTGGAGTTGAGTGGTGCTACTCTGTGTAATGCAATACAAGGACCAGTATCAGTCGACCCTACAGGAACATTTGCTGTTCGGTCGGTTACCGAGCGTGGCTCCTTTTCATATTTATTAAAGCTTACTCAGCAGAATACAATGTTCGAACTATGCGTTTTAGCTTCCGATTCTCGTGAAGTTGTTTTAAGCAAAATTCTGCTATAACCTGTGGTTGATGCCTGCAAGGGTTGTAGGCGACAGGAACAACGCGCAATTCAGTGAAGCCGGAAGGTTTCACAGTAAACGTACCTAGCATTCTTCCACACTGCTTTGGTGGCTGGGAAGTGCCTGGGAACAAAATGTATCCAACGGAAGGCATGGCTTTTCACAACACACCTATTTGGCTGCAGATTATTATTACCCTAGTTTCTAAACAATTTCATTTACTCATCCTAAAATCCTGATGAACTTATCAGTAATGCAAAGCCATCCTCTTCAAAGTTCTTCTATCTCACTTTCCATGTACAAACGCCATTACCTCATAACATTAAACAGCAAGCATAAGTGTAGGGTATGTAATAAATTCTTTAGTGGATTGCATTGTGTACTTTGACCGAGTGAAATTGATGAAGTTCTCCAATTTTGTTCTTTCCCACTATTGCTTCATGGTACACTTTGCAAAATTGAAATTACTAATCGGGATATACCCCTCTTACGATATCACTCATTTTTAGTTGCCTGTTGATCTAGTGTACTGGCTATGTGCCATAAACCACTTGGCTATTACTTTAATTCAAACAAACAAATGTGGTCCTTATGGCGTTTGGTCTCTGTATAACTTAACAAATTAATCTCTTCTCTATGTGGATGCATTTGGCTATGCCTGGTATTACACAACCTGTAACAGTGCACTTCAAAGCGTGCCTGGGCAGTGCAACCCTCGCAGTCGAGTGGGGGCACAAAGCTAGTTCGTGGATCACATTCAAAATTTTAAATATATAGTATATATATACAATCTAATGTTTAAATAGTAAATGGAACGTTTAATGAGTGCTGAAAAAGATGCAAGGTCAGGAATCTAAAGCTGCGAGAGAAGCAGCTTGACAGCATTCCTGACCTGGACATTTAGGCACAGATTGTGAGCAATTAAGAGGAGGGACAATACGTGTTCACATTAAGAAATAATAATGATGATAATAAATGAGTAAAAAAAATAACAAGTAGGGATTAGCAAACACTGAGAGACAGTGTACAGATATGTATCAAAATTGAAAAAAAAAAAGGAAAAATTCACAATTAGTCAAGCCAAGTATATATAGAGAGATGTTTATTCACGGAAAGGCAGAGAGGTCGGCTTGAGCGATAGTATGCTTCAGTAGTATATATAGAATACCAGTCAAGTGTACTAGTATGAATAGTAATAAAGAATGGAAAAATACAAATAGATGCTCACCATAACAAACATAAAACAGGCAATAAGTAAATATGCATATTTTCTGGAATGATTAGTATTAAATAAAAAATTGATAAACATGTCCATTATGTACCTATACAGTTAGGCAAGAGTGATAGGATGAGAGGCACATGTTACCACTTACAGTGTTTCCTTCTTTGGATTGAGATTGGTTTCTTTACCAGCCATGTTAGTCCTGTGGTTGCATAGCTCGGCTGCCGAGCTGACATTGCAGAATCGAATCCCAGCCCTCATGGTCACATTTCGGTGGAGGCGAAATGCTAAAGGTCCGGGTACTTCGATTTGCTGCATGTTAAAGAACACCAGATAGTGGAAATTTCCGGAGCCCTCCACTATGGCGTCATCATAATCATATGGTGGTTTTGGGACGTTAACCCCCACATATCAATCAATTCTCCTTGATAAACAATAAACAATTGTATCGGGCCAGTCCTCCTTAGTTGCGGCTGTCGGAGGGCAATTTGTATCTGGCGGTCGGTCTGGGAATGAATCACGCAGCCGGCCCCTGGTGTGCTGTCCAGCAGGGCCGGCCTCTGCAACCGGTGCAACCGCCAGCTCGAGATGCACGGTCTCAGCGACACAGAGTGGGAGGAGCTGCGTCGAGGAGTCATGGAACGGTGCCTGGTGGGTGACGACCCCTACCTGGGCAGCAACCCTCGAGAGCTGGCCAAGTTCCGGGACTTCTTGGAGCGCGCTCCTGCCTACAATGTGGTCTTGGACGGACTCAACGTTGCACTCGCCAAGGGCAGTGCCAGCCAGAGGGACAGAGCTCAGCAGGTGAGCTGCTTGTTACTAATGCAACAGATCTTGATGCTTAGCTTGTATCATGTCCATGCTACAGGATCTGTCGAAGTAACAAGAGTGGGCCTGATAAAGATAATTTATGGATTTCATCTGTACACATTATAATTCTTCGGTAGAATTTCTTTGAGTGTTCATACGTAGCTTCCAACACTGATCTCGCGTTGCAAAGGCTTCCCCGTGAGTCGGCTGACATGACCTATTTCAGCGACTCTGTGGTAGCCCTTTGGATAGAAGGCATATATTGTTGAAACATTGACCTTTCAGGCTTCTCTTGCGCTTTGGAAACAGGAACCAGAGCAGACTCACATCAGGATAGAACCAGGCTCGCATCAAGGCTGATGTAGCCTTGATACAGCTTCACTGAGGTGCACGAAAAAGCACAAAAGGGAAGCACCTAGACATAGCGCACCTGGTACTACGCTGTGTCTAGATGTCATCCTTTTGTGCTTCCTTTTTTTTTTTGCGCACCTCACTTGAGATGAATTACCAACTTGCCTCGTCGTCCATGCTCCTTGACACAGCCATGATGAAAGCCCCGGTAGAGTTATTTCTGTTCCCCAAGTAAAGAGCAACCTTAAAGGTCATTATTTTGACAGTGCGACCTCCATCCAACGGGCATTGACTGAGTCTTTGAAATAAGTCATGGCAGTCTACTTTTGGGGAACCCTCATGGCGCGAGATTCGTGCTCGAAATAGTGCATCGATGCTCAAACAATCAATGTTGAAAAACTTGGATAAGATGTACCAATGGTATCCATAAATTCTTTAACTAGATGCAGTCTCATTATATTAGGACCAAAACCTGTACCTAAGTACCTACGCGTCTTCTGGCACTTTGTTAATTACAGCTGCATTAAAGTAAACTGACAATGAAGCCATTGAAAGTATAGGTGAAGTGGTGCTCCTAGCGCTTATCACAAACACGTGCCTGTGGAATTAAAAACCTGTGGAAGGACAGCTCTTGCGACAGCTTTATGGCAAGAGCACTTCATATATAATGCCAAAGGTGCGGGTGCAACTCCAACCTTAGGCAAATTTTTAATATTTATTTTGGTCTCTTTTCTATGCTAAACTAGACGATAACCGAAGAATTCTTGTCGATAAACCCATGAAGAGAGTCGTTTGTGCTTGCCCAATATGAACACCTAGCTTGTCGTCAAATCAATGTTTGTTGTCCTTAGCTGAACTGTTATCTTTGGTGGAGCGTTGACACCTGGATCTCAAGACTTGCCAGCCTGTGCCAAGTTTCATCCTGAAAGCCACATCAATGTAATAAACTGTGTTAGACACGCAAAAAGCATTAGATGTCGCACAAATGAGCCAGACTGCACACATTTGGTCTTTGCCAGCTATCGGCAGAGCCTGTTTGTAAAACTTCGGTTGTCACCAACTCTCTTTCTAAATTTTGAACTCATGCATTTCATTTAACATACGTTCCATGATTTGATTTCGTTTGCATTATATATCGGTAAACAGGCCTTTTCAGTACATGTTATGGAGGCCTGTTATAGACATAACGTGGATAAACTTGTAGAATCTTGTTGTGAACAGGGCATCTTGAGCACATTTGTCTCTCGTCCTTTTTTCTCAGTTTGTGCAAAATTAGATCCTCTTTTTCAGTTGCTGAAGGCAGTGCACCACTATGCCGTTAATGAGAAACGAACCGTGCTGCTAGTGGGACGCAAGCACATGCTCCAGTGGCCTGCCGAAATTATGGACAGAGTTTGGAAGCACTGCCTCCGATACCTGGCCAATGACACGTGAGTTTGGCTCTGCCCCATGGAAGCATTCATTAATCAGTCTGGCCCACGGCATTGTTGCAATTACACTTCACATTTACAACCGCATCCTAAACGTGAAAAGTTTATGAACCTTTCACATGCATAATCGAGGAATAGACTATGTGAACATGTCCTCATATCTGATTGTATTTCATCATGCCCTTGAGTCTTTGATACACATATCTTCTGGTATAAGTTATGTCTTCCTCTCATTTGTTACTGCTGTTAGTATTGGACTGCAATGTGTGTGTATAATATACAGATTGACCCCCTACATGCTCAATTATGTTGTTTCACACTACCACTGTGTTAACATATGAACCTTGTTTTAATTTAGTTTTTCTATTATGCCATTTCTGTAGCCTAGTGTTCCAATTGAAAAGATTATGTGCTGCTTCAACTGCCCAAGCGATGCAAAGGCTTGATTACCACATCAGTACATCTTTCAGTTCCGTGCACCCTTTCTTCTATCTCACCAGCTCTACCATTGGTCTGCTCTTCACCAGTGCAGCAAATCGCGCAACCAATCGCACTCCTGCTTTGCTCCCTTCAAAGCTTCGCCTCTGCTCTCCTTCTCTGCTTAGCTTCACTGTGTGCTAGTCGATGCCCTTCCGCTACCAGGCACACAAGGCTTCACTCTTGCAACTGGGGTGGAATGCACGGACAACAAATACCCCGAAATTTACCAAGAGTTTCAACAGCTACGCAGTAATTCCCCGCCCACCCTGCCGCAGCATTCATGTTTTGTGCATAGTTCAAGTTTGCATTAAACTGTTATACAACTTTTTCAATCAATACTGAACATATATTTATTTGTATGTCGCAGGTCGCACGACGTTTCAATCAATACTGAACATATATTTATTTGTATGTCGCAGGTCGCACGACGACCCATTCGTGTTGTACGCAGCACTCCACGGTGGACCAGGCACACAGGTCGTGTCGCGCGACCTCATGCGACAGCACCTGTCCCGTCTCAGCAATCCGAGGCTTCAGGAGCTGTTCACCTCCTGGCAACAGACGCACCAGGTGGAATGGAGGGGTGCACCTGCATCCACGATGGTGTCACACAAAGTGACAGTGCAGGGGAGCTCCACCGACGGATGGCACATTCCGCACGTGGAGGGGAATGGCACAGTAGCAACTATCGCTGAGGTGCAGTGGCTTTGCATCTCTCCTGCCGCCGTCCTTCGATCGTCCAAGTCGGGTTAGAACTCTCTGTAGGACTTCAGTGCGCATATCCTGCGAAGCGGCGCTGGTGTGGTTATCGGAGCTAATTATAGCAGGGCGAGACTGCACTTGAGAATCGTGGTGTAGTCTGCACTGTACGCAGGTTTTCGCCCTGGCCACAAGTCTTGAGCACAAAAAAGCCTGAGATCAAGTCAATGTTCTGACCGGCAAACACCTATGAATTAAGTCTTCCATGAGCAACAAGGGCAACCCGGCAATTGAGGAGGATCAGGGAATGTTTAAGAGAGGGAAGCGGGCTGGGCAGGGGAGGTTTGCGGTTTAGTAATACTGAATGAAGCATTAGCAGATCAAGCAGGCGCTGAAACAGATAGGTCCATGGGTATCTTCCCCAAGATCGGGCAAATGTTTCGACCAGCAAACCTAAGCGCTTCGTGTCTACCGACAGCAGTGAACACAACCTAGCAGCGAAGTGAGGAGATTCTGAAATCACTCGGGATGGGAGATATGTTTTTCAAGTCAGTTATACTGAGCGTCAAGAAGACATTAGGCAGCACGCTGACGCAGATAGATCTTGGAAAAGACGGCACCGAAGACGATGAGGACGCCAACAATGCCGAGCGCACCCAGCTGGTGTCCGTAAATGAGGCACGAAAGCAACACCGCCACTGCCTGTCGTATCGTCATGGCAATCACGAAGACAACGGGTCCGAACTGTGCGATGGTGTGGAAGACGAAGAGCTGACCCGTCGCGGAGCAAATGGAGAGCAGCAGGCAGTCGTAGAAGAATGCGTGGAAGCGAAACATGAAGCGCAGTGAAGCCGTGAGCGCTCCCTGTTGGAGCAGCGACACGAACGTCAGCAGGCACGAGAAGAAGTTTACACCGCACATCATCTGCGCTGAGCTCATGCGGTACGTGCGGAACAGCTCGGACTGCCAGTTGGAGGTGAAACTGTCGAGAATGAGGTAGCTGGCAAGGATGATGAGCCCGGAGAGGCTGCTGCTCGTGGGAGACGAGGAAGAGCCTCCGGACGATCGGGAGAGGAGGAACAGCCCCATCCCGACAGAGATGGCGAGGGCGAGCAGGTACTCGTGCCAGTCGTAGCTCTTGCGAGACACCAGGCGTCCCATGAGCATGACAGGTATCACTTTGGACGCCTTGGCCAGCACCTGCGAGACAGTGCAAATGTGGCGTCCTCTGCTGTGTGGACTGCTGTATAGTGTCGCTTGGGTGAATGTGCAGGAAGTGCCAATACAAAATGGTACCATCGGCGACCAATGAAATGCGAACAGCAGCAAGCATTAGCAATGCTGTAGTGCCTGCCGTCCAGTCATCATCATTGACAGGCGAGCACATCCGGCTTGACAGCATTGCACCATTCAACACTAGTATAATATTTGCACTTCTAATCTAGTTCTGAAGTCTCAAAGAAAGAAAATCAGAATAAGAGCGAATAAAAAATAAAAATGATATGATCAAAGTCATTCTACACATCCACGCTGGCCACAATTATCACCATCTTGGAACTAGAACACAAGCAAAAATACCTCACTATTGTGATACCTTGCAGTGCTGCCAATTCTGATGTGCGCACTCGTCAGTAGTGATGATGACATGGTGTGCAGCTAATGGCCTGCTGCGGTTAGAATTTCATTTGATGCGGATAGTACATCTTGCTACCCTTTGAGGCAGCCAGCTGGCCTATATTTTTGAACCTTAGTTAACGAACTTCAGACAACTAGGTTCATTGACAGGCAAGCTAGTCATCTATCAGACAGCGAGACCCAACACACGCCCACAGCTACGCATTGAAAAATAAAAAAAGGATGTCTGAATTGTTGGGAGCTGTCTTTGCTCCCAAAGAATAATAATCTCCTGTCTTGCCTGTGTTTGCCTTATTCCAGTGCTCCGCGCTTTCAGAATGCATGTTATCAGCACAGTGTGGTATTCTTGACAAGACAGCAGTGGGCTCAGAGTTGTATGGGACATTAAACAATAGTAACACGGGAAATTATCGTTTCAGAAACAAGATGTGCCGCCAGGGATGTGAACATTTGTTATATTATAACTGTTATGCAAGTAGGGACATGGTGTTTCCTGTCTTTTTAACACTCTGCAGATGGGTATGTCAGCAACAAAAATGAAAAACAAATGTTTTACTGGGACTTCCATGATGACTTTTGCAGTATTGTGGTATAGGACTACGCTCGCTACGACATGATAATATCTAGCACTCTAGTCAATCCAATTTCAGTGCAAACAGGACAACTGGTGGCCTGAGTGTTGTTTGCTTCCAGATTTATTTCTATTTAAGCTGTTAAGCTTTAAACCACATTAAACTTCAGTTAGTTACTCTTATGTAAATAAATTGTTGTGTAAATGATTAAGCTCTACACCTTTTCATTTGAATTTCTTTATGTCACTGTCTGGCAAGTAATTTCCTGCTCTTCTTTACAGAGGTTGTTTCATGTAATAGATATTGAAGATTTGAAGTGATTAACTGCAACTGAATTAAACCACTGGTTCGTCATCATGCGATATTTGTTAAAGTACTTTATATTGCACTTCGTTAACTCAGATTGACAAGGCGAAATTTTTAATATTCATTTTAGGGCCAAGTGCTTTTCGTTATATTGTAGGGCCATTCCAAGACGACTGATCCAATTTATTTGTACCAATGTACACACCCTAACGGCCGCCACATGACAGCAAACCACGTGACGTTGGTTTCGTTCTGTTGAAGCTAACCAGTGTTTTTAAATACTTAGTTCTTGTTACACATGTAGCGAGAGAGACGTGAGACAACGTGAAGGTTTCTCTCGCTACACATGAAACACACGGTTTTTTATACAACATTGTTTGCCATGGTGTACAAACACTACAAAGAAAAGATAACATTATTATTTTCATTGGAGTGTTTTATAATGTCTTTCACTAATAAACAGCTGCAAGTTTGGTTGCAGCTGTGTATTTGTTAGCTTGATTTTTTTAAATTCAGTCTTCAACAGAAGTCTCATAGTTTTTGCCCCGACACATGTTCGTGGTACACATCGTTAGCAGCTTGTCACAGTGCAAGCTCAAAAGCTTTACCAATCTGCTCTGGCAATACGGTTGGAGTAGCACACAGAGATTGCACACTAAGATCGCCACCTTATGACTACAAAAATATGACACTGAGCTTCAATTTAATTTTTTTTCCTGCGGGGCTGAAATGCAGGTACCATATCTCCGGCAGATACAAATCTGTAATGACTTATGATTGTACAAAGTCCCGTTATTATCTGACGTCAGTCGCACACAAACACGACATGACGCTTTCATACCTGCGTGGGGAAGGCAACAAACTTGAGCGCCTCGTACTGACACCAACTGCTCATGATGTTTGAGAAGGAGCAGTAGGAGTACTTGTAGACGGGCGCCAGGTGCCGCGGCTGCTGTGTGAACAGTAGGTACAGCCCACTGAGCGTGAACGCCAGCACCCGGTTGACAAACACCAGGAACTGGGAGTCACTGAACCGCTGTCCATCTAACGGGAACACCTCGTAATACTTCTGCGTCATGATTTTCTCTTGTAGCACGCCCCAGGTCAGGTAAGAGACCTACGACAGAGAATATAATAATTGCCGGGGATTTACAACCAAAACCACTACGTAATTGTTAGGGGCATAAATTGGCTCTGGAATTTTCGACCAGCTGGCATCCTTTAATGTGCACTTGGATTTTGGTACACAGGCTTCAAGCATTTTGCCTTTATTTAAATGTGACCACTGTTACTGGCATTCGATCCCATGACTTTTGGGTCAGCGGTAAAGAGAAGGAGAGGATACTTGCGATTGCATGCTGGTATAAATCCACTCTTTCCTCTCTACAGCTTTTTATAGCTGCAGTAAAACACTGCCAGCGATAAGAAGGGACCAGACAGAGATGTAAGGCGCACACACGGGGCATGTATACACGTGGGAGACCAGGCGGAGCTGAGAGACATGTATCTCACCTCTGCCTGGTTCCATGTTTTCACTGGCACCGTTCTGCTGCACGTATGAACCAACTAACCCAAAATTCGTCTTAACAAGTGTCCATACCTACTATATTGCACTGAGTATAACCTGCAATACATAGGCACCTACCAAAGCGCTCTGCCAGACTGGATCGCAATGTCGATCACGCTACATCAAACTGTTAGCATTAGTGTGATGGGGGGCAGGGCCGTAGCCAGGAGGCGGCCTAGAGGCCCAGGCCCACCTCAAAATTGAATGTAGGGAGTGTTTTACCCAGAACAAATAATAAATATAGGTGGTTCTAGATGCGAAGCAGCTTTTTGTCGGGGCTGTGTCCGTCCCTCCCTTGTGCGTCTTCTCTGCATCCAGTGCATGTGCTTCCCCCCTCTCTCTCTCCTACGCTCTCCCTCTCAAGTCGGCGGCGAATGCAGCAAAGTGCTTCCTCAGAAGTACGGCGTCCATACCCTCACAGAGCATGCCCATCCCCCTCCTTCTCTCCTCTCTTACACTCCTCCCTCTCTCTCCCGAGTCCGGCGGCAAAGCAACGATACGCTTCCTCAGTACACACGCTCACTCCGTAGCTGGTGATCATCAGTCTTGCGGTATTCCACATTTCTGTGAGACAGAGCGCGTCAGCTTCAATTAGCTTAGGATCACATTCGATGTTTCTGGCGTGTGCGTTGAGGGACTGGCAGCACTCACGGCAGTGGTCACCGGCAGATTAGCCAGGTAAAGATTCTGAATGTTGGCGAACCTGCTCAAGGCGACGTAGATTAGCTTTTGCGGGGGTGCCTTTCACCATCTCCCCACTGCTTCGCATCCACACACAGTTCCCTTTAGCGAGAGACGGTGTCACCCCCCACCCAAAAAAAAAAACGTTGCGGTCAGTGCATTTCAGTCTACCGGGGTAGCGTTTTATGTGCCCAAACTGCGACGGTGGCATCACCTCGCGGTGAGCGAATGCGTTACGAAGAAAGTGAAAAGGAAAAAAAAGGTGCAAATGCTCGCCTGTATACCTGCACGCAGCAATATTACTGCTACTTTTTAGTAAAAACAAAAGTAGATGAATATGAACCGCACACCAAAAGCGACAGTTTTGATATTGAAGAATTGTTTGCGCTAGTCTGTTGGTTAGGCCTAGGGACGTTCAAAAAGGGAAGTGATCCAGACAACTACGCTATGTTGTCCGTAATACTCTGCCGTTGAAGCTACCTGAAGACATGCCAAGCCGTTTTACGCAGTTGTTTATAACAAAAGTAGCGAATCTATCCTCATCAACACTAAATATATTTCGAAGCAGGCATCCAAAACGGTCGCCATGCTTTATGTACACTGCATTAACCACGCAAGCCCGTATCACTGAATCTGGAAAATGGCGTGCGTATGGTAAATGCTAGGGGCTCGTTCAGCGTACTCAGCTTGCTTACTTCAATCCTGCTCGCTAAACTATGACTGTCTATTATCAACGTGAAAGGAAAAGCATTAAGCTGTTTTTTGTTCTGCACATCCCCCCTCTTCACACCTCCTTTCACACTCAGCGGTGACCACCTTTTGTGTGCACTATACATCACTCCTGCTTCTGAAAACAAAACCTGCCCGAGCTTTGTAGTTTTGTGATTGATTATTACCCAGCTTGTTAATGTTACAAATAAGGGGCGATGTGCACACCAAGGAGAGCAATGCCCTACCCTTTTTAGGTTAGCGTAGCCCAACACAGCGATTTATTACACCCAAGTGACAATGAATATCTAGCATTTTACTCGTTATTACACTCAGCCAGTGTATTTTCCTGCTCCTTGAGAGAACAACTTTCAGAAGCGTGGATTATTAGCAACTGAGGAGATTTAATAGACCACAGTGAAAGAAACATTTGTGCAACCTTTCAATTCAAAAGAATGATTGCCTTGTGTTCTCTTGTTAATAATTGCCGTAGGTAGCCTCAAAGCATAGATGATGCTGTCATTCCAACCAGAAAAAAAACCTTGACGCTTCGGTTGGAGAAGACATTGCAGCAGAGGATGACATTATATGGACAGCACTATCGGCAAACTTCCATGGGTGACATGTTAACCCAACCCTGTACGGCATTACATTGTATTCGAACCTAAAATTTGAGCATAACATAATCAGTAGTTTTACTCCACCTAAATACAGTCTTTTTATTCGTAATAACGTTTGGGACAAGATGAAATCAGTGTCCTGATTACACCCACTGCAGGGCAAAGGCCTCTCCCATGTTTTGCCAATCAGCCTAGTCCTATGCTCGCTGCACCATGATATTCCCACAAGCTTTTTAATCTCTTACTAAAACAGCGCCAAAGACCAGGACAATAGACGCACACACTCAATACACGAAGAGCTGCACCAACATCAAACAGACAAGTTTGACCCTTCCAGACTTCTTAATCTCATCTGCTCACCTAACTTTCAGCCTCCCCATTGTGCACTTGCCTTCCCTTGAAATTCGATCTGTCACTCTCAATGGCCAGCAGTTATCGTGTCTTTGTCCTACATGCCCAGCCCACGCACATTTCTTTTGGATTTTGACTAATATGTTGTCAACACCAGTTCGTTGCCCGACCCCATCTGCCCGCTTCTTGTCCTTCGAGGTTACACCAATCATTTTTCCTTCAATGGCTCATCAAAAGCTGAAAGACCAGTAGCCAAGAGCGGTAGCATTTTGAGTAGAAATATTCTCCCTCCCTTCAGGTCTCCCAAAACCCGCACACAGCTATATAAGCCACGGGCTTGAAAACCATTGCACACGTAGCTGTTTACAATAATCTTGGAGATAAGGGAGAACAGGTACTGTGCTAAAAAAAAAAGCAGCAGCTCTGTATGTAGGTGCTGGCCTGCACTCAGCATTCCACTATCCTCAGATGTGCGTGTCGTTTTTCAAAGCCAGAAACTATAAATCTCGACAAGCCAGGCTTAATAGATTGATGAGATATTACAAGTAAATATGGAGTGCTCCAAAATGTCTATGGTGTTTATACTCAAGCCATGCAGGAGATCAGCGACACTGAGAATATAGTAAGTTTTTTTTTTTTCTTTGATAGTACTAATACTTGACACTGAAATTGTAGAAACTGTTGCTAGCAGATTGGACGTGAAAATATGAACAGAATAGAGACAACTGAAGCGCTGTATCACTGCATCTGAGTGATTGTTATGATTAGGAAACAAAATTGCAAGTTTTCATTTCTTACAACAGAGAGAAAAAGAAGCATGTAAAGGAAAGAAGGTTAACCAGATACCAGTATAGTCCACTACCCTGCACTGAAGGAAAGAGAGAAAGCAGCAAAATAGTGTAGTACTAAACAAGCACACACTTGCTGGTGTCACTAATATTCTCATCAATATTTAAATCAAATTCTAGGTTCTTATTTGCCAGCCTGGTCCTTTCTTTTATATGCCCTGCTTTATTATTTTTCGCTTCCTTTTTTTTTTTTTGCTATTATGCTGCTATTTGCCATTATATGCAATACATCGACAAACGACTAATAGGAGGTCCCCCTGACAGTTTTAGCAACTCTGCGACCTCCTTTGGTGCTAATGATGAATAAGGAAAAGAAATTAAAAATTACAAAAAACATGACAATTACAAAGCACGTTGCTGTGGGGTACTCCCGATTAATTTTTACCGTCTGAGGCTTTTTTTTGTGTGTGTGCGTGTGTGTGCAGTAGAATCTAAGCACACAAGCTTTCTTTAGATGTGATGCAGTTTAGGCTCGAGCTCAAACCGATGTGCGGTGTGACCACTCTCACTCCGCATACGCGTCTGCTCCTCTTCTCTCTCCTCTTCTACGCTCTTCCTCTCTCGCCTCGCCACAATGCCAATGCCTGCTAACCTACGCTCGCTCCCCCTTATTTCTTCTCTAGACATTCCTCCTCACGGGTTTGCACACCCATAACGTGTGCTTCGTCTCCGCTGCCTTTCTCTCCTCCTCCTCCATGTCCCCCCCCCCCCCCTGCCCCACCTCACAATGCCAAAGCTGGTGGCTAGCGGCAGGCCTAGCCATTCTGTAGGGGTTAAAAACCGCGGTGAGAGAATTTTCCTGTGTTTTGCTGAACAATAAACACTCGCAGTACGCATTAATGAAAAGCGGACAGCGGGTCCTGTGTCCAGCGGAGTCATCTGTCTCTCATTGCTTATTAGCAGTAACTGGCATGTCCCAGTAGGAAACACCGTTTGTTCCCTGTATGCTTTGTGCCGCCCCAGGTTTCCCTCCAGCACAATGCTGCGATGAGTGCCAGCGTCAATGTCGCCGCCAGTGTAAGCACAAGGGCCCTCTCTGCTTTACATTTTCACATGGTTCCTTTTAGCTGGAGATGGTGTAACTTTTTTTTTTTGCACCACTTGACCACTGGCATGATACTGCTGGTATACCATTAATGAAATGAGCTAGTTCATATTAGGCTCATTTTTTTTTTTTACCACCTGGAGCATAATATTCAAAGAAGAGGACAAGACATGAATGTGTAAGTTTTGTGCTACATGTTCATAGAAGCTTCACTACAGATCTGCAGCATTTTGTGCAAAAAAAAAATGCTGCAGGATCTTTTTAAAACATTTTGACTTTACTAGCAGTGATGCAAGAGTGCAGTTTAATTCGTCACATTATCCCAGTCCAGGCTATTTTCAATGTTGCTCGCAGGAATTCACATTAAGAAGCTCATCTAACGTTGACACAGATTCTCTCACCTGCAGACCCAGAAAACAGTAGGCCAGTACAAACGCCTCGGACAGCAAGGAACGATTCGGTGGTCGCTGTGGTTCGCTGCTCCCTCCCAGCTCGAGGCTTGGCTTGGTGTCCGGCTCATGTCCCAGCACGAATAGTCGCAATACACGAGCAAAGGGTCCTCCTGAAGTGCACAAAGGACATACAGCCCGTGCTATTCAAAAACACGTCTATAGGACATCGACAAGATGTACCAGATGACCAAAAGAAAGAGCGTACTTAGAAGGGTTATATTTAAAGATTCAATACAGGAACGATAGGATCTGTTGCAGAGCACGAAGAGTGGACACCCAGAAGTGGTCAACAACACTTCTACAAGACATTTACTATTACACACTAATATGCCCTACCAGATGAGAACATGTCTAAAGAATGTCCACAGCTGGACACCTATATTATAAACATATGTTAAAGGCATCTAAGCTGATGACTTGAAGATGACAAGATCAAGACACTCAAGATGAAGACGTGACAGTACACCAAGACATTGGCACCAATGGTACACCATGCGCAAAAAGTTTTTCATGTGTCAAAATACAGTAAAAGCTTATTAATTCAAACTTAAAAAGGACTGTAAGATTATTCGAATTAAGCTATATTGAACGGACATGGCACCACACTGTGCGGGCAGAGCCCAATGAAACCCCGTCCGGACTCGTTATTGCAAACTAGGCACTACTGCATGTTTGTGGCAGGTAATTTTATAAATTAAGTTTATGGAGCTCTCAGCAGCAAATAGAATTAATTGATCAGTCAGTTATACGACAGAAATGAGCAGCAACATGCATTCATGTGAGTATTAAGCCTTAATGCAAAATATATGATGCCATTTATGCTTCAGAACATAGTTATTTACAAGGCAGAGTACATGCAATCAAAACTAAATTAATCTGTAAGTTTCACTTGCCAGCATTCTTATTGTCACGACTCCACGTCATTGTTTGCAGCTTGCCAGACAGCTATGACACAGCTGACCGAATATGTTGCTGCTTCATTGCTTTTATCTTTAGAAAATTTGGTTTGATGTTGGAACATGAGATCGATTCGGGCCAACTTCTGCGAGGAGCGATGAAAACCAGAGAATCGCACTTCAAATATAACCATTGTGGATACTGACCCATTCAAATTGTCAGGAGACTTCCGCCATAGAAATACGCAGGGCTGTGCTAGGGCCAAGGCATTAGTTTGAAGTAACTTAAGTTCGAATTAGCCAAGCTCAAACGAACTAGCTTTTACTATGGCTTCATGAGATGGCCTCTAATGTACCAATCGTAATGCTACACACAGTCAAGCAAAAAGAAACAAACACTGGCCAGTCAAGCAAGATGTCTAAAGCTAGAGCCAAGAAAAGATAACCGAGTAGCAAAATGGCAAGTTGGGCCAGTTGGCAGGGATTCATTCTTTCACTCGGTTACAGCGCAACACTCACGAGGACAATAGAAGGAAAACAAACAACACGGCACTGATTTGCAACTGATATTTTATTGAAGAAAAGTGAGCCATACATTAGGCATTGTCCGTTTTCCTTCTATTGTCCTTGTGAGTGATGCTATGTAACCAAATAGAAAAAAAAGATATCTGAGCATTTCAGGTAGATTACTGTAATATTCCGAGCTTGACTGTTGTGATTTGTATAGCCTTGCACAGATGCGACAATAACCACATAAACGAGCTCACTATTTCCACCTATGTTTTATTAACTATAACAATAAATTGAAAATATTATGTACGTGTAATTTTAGTGACAAACGCATTTTTGCATTGACTGTCAGTTTAATGGGCGTTTTGCTTTATGCGTGCATAAGGACATCTCACGTCTTTTGTTTTTGTCTTTATTTTTTTACAGCCGTAAACTAACATATGCGAGTATCTATACCATCTGGTGGGTAAAGGATAGGCGCCATGAATTGTCAGTAATTCACAGGCAGCCGAGAGGGCACGCAGAACAACTAGAGTAAGCACGTCTACGTCTTCCTCTGACGGCTGCTCCCAGACGCTCTTGACGCACGTGCATTTATCGCGCCGACGTATACCAGCAGGGTGAAATGCGCACCGGTTTGAAAGACATATATGGTAAAAATCCGGGCCCTGCCAACGTTACTGAGGGCGCCGATTAAATGCGAGCACAGGCGCATGACTAATGCAATGCATTTGCGCGCGTGTTGCGAAAACTAGTAGTGCTAAAAAAAAAAAAAAGAATGTGTCGCTGCCTCGAGAAAGAAACCAGCGCCCCTAGATCGTTACGCAGGAAATGCGAGCGTCAGCGATTAGCGAAAGAGAGGGAAAAAAAATATTTGTAGCTGATATATGCTACGTTGCGGGTCCGTCACACCGGCGCTCGATCGCACCGTTAACGAAATTTACGCACCGAGAACCGCATCTCGGCAGTTACTTGCAACAGGTAGCATTTGAAGGCAGAAATTAACACACAACCTTGTTTGCGCGCATATGGATCATAAAAAAAAAAAATACTCACTCCTATTGCCCGCGTTTTATGACTTAGTTGATAGTGTAAGCCGCGAAGATAAAAAGAAGCGCCTCGCCGGGTGCGGTTTTCAGGGCAGCCGTCTTTAACACCGTGACCTCTTGAAATACAGTAAGAGACGTGTGGCGAAAACGAAAGGATATAGACGCTTGAAGCCGGCCCGTGAAAGCGCGGCATGATCGCTGCAGTGGTTAAAAGCATTTCTACTTGCCTCTGTTTTCCAAGAACTTGCTCCTCCGCACATAGCATACGACCAAAGCTCCCGGGCCGATGATGGTCGCGTAGCCGAGTAATTTACGAAACAGTCGTAGTAGCCAGTTGCTGTCGTCCGCCAGAGACTGTCGCTGTCGACGTCGCCGGTCGTAGAAAATACGGTGGCTGGAGCCATGGAGCGGCTGCTAGAGAAGCCACTCTAGTAAACTATTGAGCGCGCGCCACCGCGTTGACGTTCATTTCGCGACAGCTGCTTCGTGCGAACCCGTTCCCATTTCTATCGCTTTTCCTCGATTACGAGTAAGTCCACGCTGCCTTGACTGCACTCCGCCTACACGCTCCGTTTCTTGAACAGAGTGGTAAAAGACCCTGAAAACGAAACAGGACAGCTGCGAACAACGTTGCCAACAGTGCTGCGCGCGATGCGTCAAAAGAAGACACGGTGACAAAATCTCTACCTCTACCGATGAACTACCGCGCGGACTGCTAGCTGGCGCGCAACTTCTTTATCAAAACATGGCAAGTGAGAAGTACAGGTATCACAGGTTATCGAGTCTATGGCACATGTGTGCCACGTGGTGCCAATGCAGCAAAGCGTGAAACCTGCGCGGGAATTTTGAAACAAAATCTTGAAAACCGGAGTAGTTGCAGTGGCTGTGGCTGCGTTGTAGTAACAAGCTGTCACTGTTATTGCCACTAAATATATGAGATGTAGTGAAGAGGAATGCCCACTACTGTAGCGACATCGAGACGTGGGCGCGAGGCACGAGCTAGGACTGCCTGATTGCTGCTGCGACGCTGCCCGTATACTCGGCCTGCTCTTGCTGCTTCGGTACCGACGCCGCTACCGCTGCTTACCTTGCATTTACTTTATAGAGAATAGAACACGTTGAAGCTATCAGCAAGTTATGTATTTAACGAGCGTCGTGAGCCATGCACTTGCACGTTGCTGTGAAATTCCCCCCAGTTGAAATAGAAGGCCAACTGATACGGCGGACAAAAAGACACTCTACTTTCGAGTAGGGACTTGTTCCCGTCGCCTTGTCCGCGGCTACGGTGGCCAGTTAGAGAGGTTGGAATCCAGCAGCGGGCGACGGCATCGGTCAGTTCCGGTGGGAGAGATCGCGTCTTTTCGAACGTGGATTTTGTGGACGCTTGGCGCACGTATTTCGTCAACCTAGCCAACTAACGCTTTCGTACTAAATCTACGACTCAGGACGACTCATCAGCTTGCTTTTTTTTTTACAGTAACTATGCTTCTTTCCTACCTAGATTTTTTTTTCTAGGCTTCTCAACTGGATGTCTTCATCTGTTGATAGTCGCATATGCGTTTACGTCGGACAAGGCAGATCACGAAAAAAAAAAAAAAAACATAGATTGGCTGACTCTAAATGATTAATGGTTTAAAATTTAAGTAAAGTGATAAGCGAACTTTTTGTTACTAATCCCCTGACGCCGTAACGCCAGCATAGATGAAAGCTTTTCTTTTTCACTTTCTTCACCTATCCGGGTCGTTTTCTTTTGTTCTTAACTGGCTGGGCAGCTCTCATGGGCGTCGGTAGAGCTTTGTCTTGGGGAGGGGGAAGAGAAAGAGTGCAAACTCTTGTTGCATGGCAGCTTGGGGAGGGAAGGGGGCGTTGGTGTAGCTTAGGAACGGCGTGGGGAGGGGGGGCAAGTGCTGGTGTGAATTGAGAGGGGCAATCGCCTCTTAGCATTCCGGTTCCTGCCGACACCCATGAAAGCACCCACTTCGCAACCAAAAGTGTTGAATTGCGCAAACAGCGCATCGACCGATAACAATTTGCGTGTCGTCGTCTTTTCCTTTAGTCGTTTGTGCAACTTAAGACTCTTGATCATGATCAACACGTCCTATAGTCAGCCATTCTGTTCTTCGCGACGCCTGGTCTATATCCTCTTCCGCTCTGCCTCTGGTGCTGCTGAGCGGACACATTCCACAGGAGTGATTTTGCATGATATGTCATGCGTACCATAGGCGTGCGCAGGGGTAGGGCGAAGGGCGGCCTGGCCCCCTTGTCACTTAAGACGGGTCGGGGAGCAAAGTCTGCCCTGTACATTGACTTGATAGGAGAAAGGGGCGCTGCGATAAACTTTCATCCCTCCCGCCCTCCTCAAGGTGAGCTTTGCATACGCCTACGTATAGGACATTTGAACGTAAGGTAAGTACGGAACCAACTTGTTGTCACGGAATGTCAGGACATGACCAACAAGACAAGCGGAAAGCGTGCATTTTCCAAATGCTCTGAGTTTCAAGGTGAGTGAAAGTACTCTCTGATCAGCGGTTTATATAAGTGAGAGGCATTTACAACGCTGGTCTGAGCGAAAATGCCTCCACCTTCCCGAAGAGAATTGTGAGGAAGTGCCAATGTATTTCTTGCGCCGAGAGAGAGTACCGTTGCCGTCAAACATTCGCCTTCACCGACTTCTGCCACCGCCTTGAAATACGCCCAGCCAGCAAACGGTCGAGAGTGAGGAGCGGGCGGACGGGAGAGTGGGGCGCCAGCGTTCTCGGCTCGGCGTTGGCGTTTCACAGCGGCGACTCGAGCCCCCGTTTCCGGATGTTCTTGAGAGGCGCCCAGCCAGCGAACGGTCGAGAGTTAGGCGAGATCAGACGGGAGAGTGGGGCGCAGGGAGGAGAGAGAGCGAACGCTGAGAAAAGGAGTGGCGAGGCACTGCACCTTCCTTCTCCTACACTTTCTTGCACAACATGTTCCGGTTGTTTGGGGCGAGGTTAAGCAAGTGCGCCTGCAGCTGTTACTATGGGAGAGGTAGCGAGAGCAGAGAGATAACACCTGCCGGCGAGCGGACGCTGCCGCGGACAGCGCCGGATGCCTGATATAGCCCGATTAAAAAATGCATTCGCATTTTTAAAAAAAGCAGCATGATAGTACAACATGTTATACCTTACGGGCGTAATGACCCGCCGCGATGCTCCAGTGGTCACACTGCTTGACTGCTGATGCGAACGAAGGTCACTAGATCAAATCTCAGCTGAGGCAGCCGCATTTCGATCGACGGGAAATAGTAGACGCCCGTGCACTTAGACTAAGGTGCACGTTAAAATCCCTGATTGTCGAAACTCCGGTGTCTCTAAAGAGAAGAGAGAGAGAGAAACGAGAAAAAAGGAAGGCAGGGAGGTTAACCAGATGCTAGTATCCGGTATGCTACCGTACACTAGGGTTGGGGAATAGGGGGTTGAAAGAGAAAGGGAGATTTAAAAAATAAATAAGAGAAAAACACCGACACACACACAAAATCAGTCCACTCAGAGGCGTTCCGACAGGCCAGTAGTTCGTAAGAAGCCCAGTAGCGCTTGCACGGCTTTCTTCTGTGACGATGAGTCATGACGATGGCGCAGTATACTTTCTTCTGACAGCGGCTGGTCATATAACCTGTTTAGTTTATTAGAAAGGTGTTGTCTTTCCAGGTTGTATTTCAGGCAGTCACACAGGATATGTCGAATTGTTTCTTCATCTCCGCAGTGTGCACAGTCGGCGGTGTCGGCCATACACCTATGCGGAACGCGTACGCACGGGTAAACGCGACTCCCAACCATAGTCTGCACAGAGCAGTAGCAGCGTCTCTAAAGATCATATGGTGGTTTGTGTGGTAAATCTCAACAACGGTTAATAACTGCAGGCGTAGATAACCGTGCAATATCAAGACAGGAGCTTTTACACACACACACACACACACACAAAAAAAAACAACCGGTGATTAAGATACTGGCTAACGCAAATTCTGAGCGCCACCGTTTCGGTGTTTTGATTTTGCAATATTGCCTCTAGATTCTGGAATGAGCAGCGTTGAGCCTCTGCTCGAGCAGCTCGATCGTTTAAAACAGCGGCAGACGACGTATTCCCTCTAGTTGCATCGCTCATTGTTCAGAAAGAACTGGCAGAGACTATTTTGATTATAAGTACACGGTTAACGTAACGAATAGAACGCTGGAAGTATTGTGGCTGGCGCGGAGAATTTCGTGCAGTCCATTTCAGATAAACTGTCACAAGCGGAGCGTAGTGCGACTTCCTCGATTGCGGAAGGCAGCGCGTCGGTGCGTTCCAAAACAGTGAATTCGCGGTTGCTTGGAAAAGGATGATTTAATTGATATGTGGCGTTTAACGTCCCAAAACCACCATATGATTATGAGAGACGCCGTAGTGGAGGGCTCCGGAAATTTCGACCACCTGGGGTTCGTTAACGTGCACCCAAATCTGAGCACACGGGCCTACAACATTTCCGCCTCCATCGGAAATGCAGCCGGGATTAGAACCCGCGACCTGCGGGTCAGCAGCCGAGTACCTTAGCCACTAGACCACCGTGGCGGGGCGCTTGGAAAATGAAGAAGGCACTATTTTCTGCAGCTCTTGCGGGCGCACGGCTCAGCGCCTTGTAGGGTGTGAGAGGAGGGGGAATACAAAAGAATATAGGAAAGATATAGTTAGATAAAGAAATAAGACAGGCATGCGACAGAAAAAGAAGGAGTCCTATCGCGCTACTGTGGCGCCGTGGAACCTGTCGTCTCGCCACTGTCGTTTCCTCTTCCTCGCTCTCTCCTCACTATCAGCGTGTCTCATCCTCACCTACGCTCCGCCTTCGATCTCTTTCACCCTCGTTCGTTCTGCCGGTTACGCCGACGCCGCTCAACACAGGAACGGGCGCAGCCGCAGTAACTGGTACGCTTGTGTGTAATAAATGAAGTAATAGTAATGTGAGAAACGAAGTGTGCGACCACTAGTTGAAATCTAACGTTTCAAAAAAAAAAAAAAAAGAAGGGGGGGGGGGGATTAATTGACCATTCGGGCGGTCGTTTGACTGCAACCTGGCTCTGTTCAGTAGTGGTGGAACAAGCATGCAGGTACGAAAGTCATGTTCCTCCTTCTTCCTTATTATGTGTACCCCCATTAATTGTAGCAATAATGCTATGTTTTCTATTTCACATAACGATTTCGCTGCCTCCCGGAGCACTCAGAACACTCGAATGTACCACGATATAAACATAACCACGTCTAGTCCATTACCACTAGACGTTCTTCTCTGGCGTCAGCGTAAACATATATGCGTGCGCAGGGTTTGCCTTCATGGGGGGTTTCGTCGTAGCGTGCCCCCTCCTTAATATGTCAATTGATGGGGCTAGCTCTGAGCCCCCCCCCCCCCCCCCTGCGCCTTCCCCACTCCCAGTACGCACGCACACCTGTGAGCGTAAACACAAATGCTTCCTTACACGAAAAGAGCTTGATGACATCGTGCTTATCCCTTCGGGTTGCTACCAAACTTTGTGAACTTACGCCTAAAACATTTATAAACAAGTGTGCACGACAGCAAAGCGGCGTGCTCTGTATAAAGCCCGTACTGGCTAACGCAAAGTCGTTCCAGTCTC